TGTGTGTGTGTGTGTGTGTGTGTGTGTGTGTGTGTGTGTGTGTGTGTGTAGGAGAGAGACAGTGATGTACAAAAATTCCTATTTTTATGCTTTGTGTTTTCCATGTCTTAAATCCTTCGGTATTGCAAAGTCATAGAGCTATCCTCCTGTATTCCCTTCTAGTAATTTTTAAACATTTACTTATTACATTGGGTAATTAATGAATCTATAGTTTATTTTTGTGAAAGTGGGAAATAGAGGTATAATTTTTTTTCATATGGTGTGTCGGTTTTCCTAATACCATTTATCAACTAGTTTACCTTTTTCCCTCTGATTTATAAAGTCTTATATATACATGAACTTACAATATATGTTTGGGTATGCATTTGGACTCTTCTGTTTTACTGATCCATTTATTTCCTATTCTTAACACTTTTTTTTTTAGTAATTGTGACTTTGTAAAATGTCTTAATATCAAACAGGATGATTATTCCCTTTTTTACTTTATTTTTTTTTAATTTTAAATTCCAGTATAATTAATGTATGTTATATTAGTTTCAGGTATACAAGATAGGGACTTAACAGTTCTATATATTAGGGCTCATCACAATAAGTGTAATCTTAATTCCTTTCACCTATTTTACCCATCCCCCTACTCTCCTTCCCTCTGGTAACCAACAGTTCTCTATATTTAAGAGTCTGGTTTTCGTATTTTTCTTTTTTCTTTGTTTATTTCTTAAATTCCACATATGATTGAAATCATATGGTATTTGTCATTCTCTGACTGACTTATTTCACTTAGCATTGTATTCTATCTGTCTATCCATGTTGTACAAATGGCAAGATTTCATTCTTTTTTATGGCTGAGTAATACTTCATTGTGTAGCTACACCACATCTTCTGTGTCATTCATTTATTGATGGACACGTGAGTGTTTCCATAATTTGGCTACTGTAAATATTGTTGCAGTAAACATAGGGGTGCATATATCTTTTCAAATTTGTGTTTTTGTATTCTTTGGGTAAATAAACAGCAATGGAATTACTGGATCATATGGTAGTTCTATTTTTACTTTCTTGTGGAACGTCTGTACTGTTTTCCAGAGTGGCTGCACCAGTGTGCATTCTCATGAACAGTGCACAAAGGTTCCTTTTTCTCCACATCCTACCAACAATTGTTTCTTTTTTTTTTTTTAAGATTGTATTTATGTATTTGCCAGAGAGAGAGAGAGCACAAGTAG